ACCCCATTACAGATGGTTGTGAGCCACCATGTGGTTGCTGGGAATTGAACTCAGGACCTTTGGAAGAGCAGGCAATGCTCTTAACCTCTGAGCCATCTCTTCAGCCCCCTGCCAATTTAAATTTACCTAACTTCCACACCTTACTAAACTTTCATTCGTTGGGTCTGAGTTCAATATTGAATAAGTAAAATACTTCCAAGATTCACGATCCTTTGTATTTTAACCAAAAACCAGGAGATCTCAAAATGAGTTTCCCAGTGAGTTTATGTTGCTGTGGGATTCCACCATGCAGTGGTGAGCACTGTAGATGTTTGAGTTTACATACTGTACTTTATAGTAGTTTCAGAAATTGAAGTTTGGACAAAGTGAGCGATTTGCTTCTAGAAAAATTAAAGCTCAGGTTTCCTAGTTTTTATCTTATGTTACAGGTAATGCATTTCTTCCCATGGCTTTGTTCATGTGTTGATATAATAGTTTTTATAATTGGATATGGAATTTATAAGGAAATCTTGTTAAAAAGATTTTAGCCAGTAATAAGTTGGGTCATAAGACTTGTGTTTTTAGATTAATGTCTATGCATATTATCACCCATTTTTGCTCTAAAATGTTACATTTTTCCCTCCACCTTCCTTCTGACCATATTACGTTCACCTGGCACTGTGGGTTCTCTCCTAAATATACTCCAAGGCCTAAGTGCTAAAGCTTGATTGCCTGGAATCAATTGATTGGAAGGTGGGGCCCTTAGGAAGTGAGGCCTAGTGGAAGGGAGGTAAGCATGCCTCCCTCCCTCATCTTATATCAAAGTGAGCAGCCCCTCCGTCTATGTCCCTGCCATGATGTATTGTACTGCCAGAGGCCAACAGGTCAAGGTTTCCTTCTTTAATTAGTATTACAATCTTAAACAGCCTAGTGGTGTATAGGCTCTGGGGTGTCCTTGGGTGCTTTCTTTATTTAGCTAACACAAATTATCTTTTTAGGAAGGTTAGAACTTTATTAGATTACCCATGATAAGGCAGAACAAAGCTGTCAGAACAGAAATGGAACCTGAATTTACCCTGATGAGAAAGGCCTGTGTCATGGAGTCTGCCCATCAGGTGGCATGAGGTTGACCATACTCTGACTTACTTCCTGGATAAAGCATTCTCACATTTGAGTGAATTTAAGAACTGGAATGGGTCTGAAAGAGCCCAAGTCACATTCTTGTCAGATTTAAGGCACTAAGATATAGACCGTAATGAATGGCCTTTTACACTATCGAGGACTAAACCTGCTTTTCTGGTGCCCAATCCATTTGATTGCTTTGTGTGGAGTTCTGCTGTGTGAAACTCCCAATTTTAGTTGTTAATTAAGATTTCCAGTTCCCCGAGTATCTCTTCATATATGCTAGCATCAAGTCGATCATTTACTAAAAATTACTCAAATCCTTATTTTCTCTGAAGAATACCAGAAGTTCTTAAAATTTGATTTTAGCTCTGCAACTGAATCTCAGAGTTATTTTTAATGATCTTTGTAGTCTTTTTCTGCAAAGACCAGACGTGGCCTTGGGATACTTTTCAGTAACTATTTTTAGCAGGTTGGTCTGGGCACTCAAACCTAAGGGCCAGCACACATACTATGTAAGTGACCCTCCACTGCACTGCACCCAAGCTTAAACAACTCACCTTTAGACAAACTGGTAACCATTTATTGGAATTAGTATCCAAGATGAGGTTGTTTCTTCATTCTTGGAAGAAAGGTTGTAAAGCAAAATTTTGTAGTACATGAGAGCTATTAGAACTCTGTAGTCATCTTTGCTCATCAAGTCATCTTTTGCTTGAAATGTTGGCATTATGTTGTCCATTAACTAATTATTGTGAATAAATAGTTTGAGAATCCCAAGTATTATGTTAGGATTGGTTAGTATCAACTCCAAATTCTAAGCATGCCTAAGTTTAATTTAAACTTAATATTAGTTGGTTTATTAACAAATTCAAGTTAATCAAGCATTGGGTTATTATTGAAAAGATGACATAGACAAGTCATGGAAATTGATTCTGTGTGAAAACCCCAAAACTAGAACTACCCCACACATAGGCCAAACCGGAAGGAAATCCAAGGCTCATGACCTCAGCAGCAAAAGTTCTGGCCTTTACTGCTGATAAGTAGTTTCGGCTGTGTTCCTCCTCTGTTTGCCTGCTACAGTTAATTTGCTTAGTCTGTTTTTACCATCTGTTTGTAAACCTCAGGAAACTACAGCTTTCTCATAGGATGAGTTTGTCTTGTGGCTGTGATAACTGACTGCCTCATGGCGTCTTTCTCTATATTCAATTTGATTCCAAAGATTGTATAGCCCACAAAATACATTTTTTAATTTTGATAATGTTAAAACAATTAGTGGTATTTCAGAGCTGAGATAAGTACAAGGTCAGAAAAGTTTTGAACTTTATGACTTAAATTGCCACTTGGAGGTCAATGTAAAGCAATGCTTTGCGATACAAGAACGCTTTCATTGTGTTAGTCTAAGGGTTGTTAAGTTGGTGTGTGCATCATCTAGGATTTACCAGCCTTGGAAATTTCTTTTTAGAATAATATTTCAACTACTCTTTTTTCAGGTTTTATTATATTTTTGATATATATTTAATTTATCATGCATTGTTACAAATTACCATAAATTCTATGAGGAAAACCACAGGAAATAATACAAAATAATGCTTGATATATTTAAAGACTAGTATTTTTAACTAGAATGATTGCTTACATTTAATCTATGCCCTGAATGAAATGCATATGAGAAAACAGTTTTTATCATTCAATGACCATTGTTATAAATTCAGGCTTTCCCCTTGTAAAAGTGTATTTCTACATTATATATGTATTTAACCCAAATTTTGACCCATAAAAATAAATTGTTTAGTAAATAGTAAAACATGTTCTTGTCAAAAATCCATCCTAATGTAATTACCAGTTTATTATCCTGATGAGCATGAAGCTCCACTGTAACTTGAAAATAAAATGCATTTAATACAATTAATTTTCTGAATTTTGTAGCTTAGCAAGAGTATTCACCTTTGTGATACTGTAACTGGCAGAAGAGCTGTGGCTTACTGTTAATGCCCAGCATTCCAAGAAACTATCAAACCACATAGTGCTAGCTCAAGAAAAGACAACAATTCTAACATTCAAGGACAGTATCACTTCCACACCATTATAAGTTGAGGAGGCTGTCTGTACAGAGTGTAAATTTTCTTAAATTTTCTTAGAATAACTAGCCTACTTAGTGTATAATGTCTTTTTAAATGATAATAAGATTGTATACATTTCTAAGCTTATACTTTGTGTTTATATTAAAGCTTTTTTATTTTTTTTAACTGTTTGAACACATCAGAGAACAGAAATAGCTGGAATGCTATCTTAAACCAAAAATCTATTTAAATGCTTATTTAATGCTGCTTAAATGAAGAAAGATATATAAAACATCCAAAACTCCACCTGGTAACTATCCTGTTGAGACACTGGTCAGTATGTCACTCAATCCAAGTCGACCTTCTTCATCAGAGGTAAGAAAACCATACCTATCACTGGTTTTGAAAAAAAACAAAAGCTGTGAATGACATAAAATATTAAATGCTGATTCTACTAGGACCCCAACTTCCCATATCACATTATCAAATTATATGATTATGCTACTTACATCTGTAACTCACTCCTCTGTTATGACGTGCAATGAATTGATCTTACCACCCTTTTTACTGTTTTTAAACTGATGATGCCCAGACTCAGCTTAACTTTATAGGGCATAGGATCACTCTGGCTCATGCTTCTGACCACTTGTCATCTCTTGCTTTGTTGTACTTCTTTGATAAACAAAACCCTAATGTGTTGAATGAGATTTCTGTCTTGCCCAGTCCCGTAGCCATTCAATTCCAAAGAAACACACAGAGGTCTACATAAATCATAAACTGGTTGGCCTGTTAGCTCAGGCTTCTTCTTTCATTAACCCATAATTCTTGTCTGTGTCAGCCACATGTCTTGGTACCTTTTATCAGTGAGGCATTCTCATCTTGCTTCCTCTGCGTCTGGGTTACTATTGCAGACTGAACCTTTCCTCTTCCCAGAATTCTCCTGTTCTGATCACTCTGCCTATTCTTCCTGCCTGGCTACTGGCCAATCAGCAGTTTATTAAACCAATACAACTGACAAATCTTTACAGAGTATAGGACCATTGTCCCACAGCACTAATGAATACATTTCCTCCCCATTCTTCCCTGAAGACTTGAGGAAGAATATGTAAGACCATTTCACTTTAAATCCCTGACCATGAGTCTGAAGTGGAATCTTTCACTGGAAGGCATTCATGCTGTGTGTCACTCATTGACTTAATGTATAAGTTTTTTTTTTAACCTCCTTAAGCTGCTAAGAATTTCTTGATCTTTCTTGATCTAATCCAATCATATTTCCACTTTTCACAAACCTGCTCTTGAATTAAATTTACCTCTTCATCATGAAATTTATTAGCTAATTCTTCTAAACATACTTGATCTGATTGAGTACAAAAGCTGACACCATTGCTTCTCTTCCTTGATAGAATTCCTTCACATTGCTTTCGTTTTGTTTTGTTTTGTTTTTAGAGACAGGGTTCCTTTGTGTACCCTTGGTTGTCATGGAACTAGCCCTGCAGACCAGGGTGACCTCGAACTCACAAAGATCTGCCTGAATCTGCCATCTAAGTGCTGGGATTAAAGGTGTGCACCGCCACCATCCAGCTCCCATTGCTTCTTGAATAAATATTATCTTGGATTTATTTTTCCTGTCCATGGTTGTGCATTCTATCTTCTTTGTTGGATCTTCCTCTTCCAATATCTCAGTAGTGTATTATTCTCTCTGCTCTTGATGGGTGATAGTCTCATTTAGCCTAATAAATCTTCATGCCAACTTTATACAGGTTTCATGTGTATCTCCATCTTTGTCCTCCTGTACAAACTCCAGATCATATANATATATTCAGCTATTTGACATTGATGTTTGGATGATCAATAAGCATCTAACAGCATATCTGAAGCTGATTCTTAACCCTGTCCCAGAAACTTCTGCTGCTTGCCCCTTTTCTCCGATGATGGCAAATCTGTTTATTTTCTCACTGATGCAAATGTTTTTAGCTCATACTTGATTATTCTTGCACACTTGACTTTTCTTGACTTCTAATGCTGGGATCATAGGTGTGCCCTACCGTACCTAGCTTCTAATATGTGAATCTTGATTGCATTCTTGACTAAAAATCATTGAGGAAAATTTCACAATTTATACACTGAATATAGATCACATGCTAGTTGATATTAATGACTAAATGTTTAATGTGAAAATAGAAATATTAGAGAAGGCCTTTTTGACAGATAATGTATCCCAAAATATTTAGGGATATTTTGATATAAAATCATGGCATCAATTTTACTTTATTCTGTCAAGAAAGACAAGAGAGTGCCAGACATGGTGGTGAATGCTGGTAATCCCAACACTTGGGAGACAGAGGCAGGAGGACCAAGAGTTAAATTCTCTCTTGACCTATACAGAGAATTCATGGATAGCATAGGCTATAAAAGATCCTTTCTTAAAAATGGAAAGAGACATAGCAGAATGTTAAAACTTTTGTGAAAATTGTAGATATTTAAACATTCATAATTTTGTATATATATATATTTTTTTTCGAGACAGGGTTTCTCTGTGGTTTTGGAGCCTGTCCTGGAACTAGCTCTTGTAGACCAGGCTGGTCTGGAACCCACAGAGATCCGCCTGCCTCTGCCTCCCAAGTGCTGGGATTAAAGGCGTGCGCCACCACCGCCTGGCTGTATATATATTTCATACAAAAGAAAAATAATGAAGTGTGTCACGTCTTCAACTTGTATTAAAATTGCATTCCCTTCCTCCTTCAAGGCTCTACTTTGCTACCCTTTTATCACCTGTTTGCTTTATTCCTCTTCAAGTTTGTTTCCACTTTGAGGTCTTTGTTTTAGCTCTTCCTAGAACTCTGTCTCTAGGTGTTCACTTGACTGTTGCAGTTTTTCCCTTAAGTCTTTATTCAGACTTCATTCCACATCTGCAACACTAACTGTTCTATTTAAAACTCAGTTTCTCCATGTCTTTCTCTTCCCATTTTCCTAAATCTGATCTCATTATATTTCCTAGTAAATAATCCTATCTAAGAGAGTCTGTAACCTGTTTTATGCTTCTTAACGAAGAGTATCTAGTATCACATGGGCCCAAGAGTAGTCGGCAAATGAGGCACCTTGTCTGGGTACAGAATTTAAGGGAATAGCAAAGTGTGTGTGTGCGCGCGCACGTGTGTGCACATGCATGCGTGCATATGTACCATGAGCTCTCAGAGCCAAGAGGGTAAAAATTGGACCACTTAAAACAGGAATTACAGGCAGTGTGGATGCTGAGAACCAAACTTGGATCCTTGAGCAAGTGCACTTAACTGCAGTCCTGTCTCTCTAGCTCCTTATTCAAACTTTTACAGTTCCCATTTATTTACTGTTGCAGTGAAGAGTATAATTCGTTAAGTCCTTTGAATTTTAATGTACAGTGAATATCAACTTTTCCTAAAGAGACCCTGCTATTATTATTGTTTTTGTTGTAGTAATCTAAATATTTTAAATGGGATACTGATTTGAGACATAAAATATGTCATTAAGTTTTTCTTTCTTTAATAGTTTGGTACAAGCATAAACAGGCTAAGCTAACAGTTAAGCCCCATATCAAGAATAGATTCTTCCTAGAACTGTAGGGAGCAAATAAACTTCCCAAACCACAGTATTAGCTTTTAGGCTGCCACTGGGAAGCTACACTCCCCAAAACTGTATAAAGGCAGACAACATACAAAGGATAAGGATTCCACGAAGTCACGTTAAAGGAGTTGAGAATGTAGGGTGGAGGTGAGGGGTAAAAGTTTGCAATAAGAAAACACCATCTCCATTTCTGGTTTATGATCGGGGTTTGGGGAAAAGGCCATGAAGTGGGAAAAAAGAAACCTCTGAAGATGTCGGCCAAGAGATGGATGAGGAAGACCAGGCTCTGAAGCAGAGTCAAAGAGGAAGAAACTTGAGGAGCTAAAAGTCAAGGCTCCTGGGAAGGGCTCTTGACTAGAGATGAAATTAAGAAGTCTGGCAAAAGTAAGCTATCCGTGTACCAAACATCTAGATTCCTTGCCATAACATCCTTTGCCACTTAAAGCCACTTAAAGAATGAAGTGTTATCCTGGAGCCTGTTGTACATTGTAATAAACTTGTGAAAAGGAAGGAAGGGAAGGAGGAAGGAAGGACGAAAGAAAGGAAAACATACTATCCAATATTGTTACTGAATGCCACAAGAAGAATGTCATTTATCAAAGTGTTGAGTAAGGTGTGAACCAACAGGTATCATCATTTCAAAGGAAAATGTACACCAAGTGTCAAATGGTCAACTTAACAAATTTTTGTTTTGTCACTTGTTCAGATGAGTAAATACATTCTATATTTCAATTGTGTTTATCTAATTTAAAAATTTATGTTAATAAGTTGGTTGTTTCTCTATTTCAGAAAATTTTTAACTGATATCTTTCTTCTTCAGCTGGTGGAACTTCATGTTTTTTATGTCCCTGAAGGATCGTGGAACTATAAATTAAATACTATTTCAATAGAAGTTATTAACAACTTTATTTCTGCTGGATTTATAAGGCAAGTATTTTGAGGCCATGAAACAAATTATCAGGAAAAGAGAATTTCTGAAAATTGAAAATCTTCTAAGTGAAAAATATCTTGCTGATTTAATAATGGATCCATCTCTAGTTCAATAAATAGTACTGTGTAATGCTAGTGATAGGATCGGGTAGAGTAGAGTAATGAATGAGGTATACCAAGTATAGTCACTAGTAGTGCAGTAAATACATAAGCTTTGCATCAATCATTGCTATAGCAACAGACATCACCTGGGCATATTACTGCTACTACCCAGAAAAACAATGTATAACCTCTTTATTACTAAGATTATACACAAAAATAATGAACAGAAATGATCTAAAATTCAAAACCAGTTGAACTGTGAACAGTACTTAAAGCAATGTATTGCCAAGGTCTTTATAATTGCTTAAAGCAATAAAACTGCAGGTATGTATGTGTATATGTGTATTTTTACATTCAGACAGACATGACACTATGTGATCTGGCTCTTTGTTTTCCCCTTGAGGGTATCTCACCTCCTAAAATTTCCCATCACTTTTCCCAATCACGATGATTTCCTTTCTTTTCTAAAACACATTGCATATAGTCATTATATACAGTCCTGAGCTGCTGAGATTGCTCAACAACTAAAAATACTTAACACACGACTAAGTTCAATTCACATAAAGGGGAAAGGAGAAAACCAATACCACAAAGTTGTCCTCAGATGTCGACACACGGTGTACATCCATACACCATAATAATACTTTTGGAAAAAAGCATATAAATTTCATAACAAAATTGTGTTTTAATCATAAAATGTGGATGTAGATTAGAAAAAGAAACATTTTCTTTCAATACAAAAAGTGTTTTTGTAATCCATATTCTTCATTTGTACCATTTTGTTTTGTTTTTCGAGACAGTGTTTCTCCGTGTAGCCCTGACATTCCTGGAACTCTCACTGTAGACCAAACTGGTCTTGAACTCACAGAGATCCCTCCTGCCTCTGCCTCCCAAGTCCTGGGATTTAAGGTGTGCATCACCACTGCCTGTCCATTTGTACAAATTTAAAAGACAGGTTTTTAATCATTTGTTTTGAAAAATACTTACGGGAAACCTAACATTCGAGGCAGTGTTGAAACATAAGACATAAAATTATGTTTAATGCATTAAATTAGTATTTTCATTTAAGTTAACTAAACCTGTTGATTAATTAATACATTCAAAATCTATTTAAAACAATGTCATATTTCAGAGTATCTCCTGAACTTACTTTACAAGCTCTGAGGGAGCGCCTTGGTGAGTTTCTCGGTGTAGATGCTGTTGCAGAAAAATTTTTATTTCTGAAATGCATTGGAAATAATTTAGCTGTGGTAAGTTTTCTTGCCTTTTTTCCTTCCAAGTAAAGTCTATATTATGAAATTACATTTTTTAAAAATGTTCATAAAGTAAGTTCCTTCACCTGTGAGATAATTTGGCTCAGATTCTAAAATGTTTATAATATTTTATTTTAAACAGTTATTTATTAACATTTTCCTGCATATAAGATAAATATGGAGCCTGTCCTTACAGTGCACTCGGTGTAGTGGTCAAAGTAAATGATGTAATTTGAATAAATCAAGTGTCGTATTTTGTGTGTGAAGAAAAAGAGATTCCCCAGCAGAAGAAGTGGGTAGGTAAGGGACATGGAGGAAGAAATGATACTCGGGCTTGGATCTTGAAAGGTAATATCTGATCTTGAAAAGAATGAAGGGTGAGAAAGGATTTCTGAGCAGAGAAAGGAGAACGATCAGAGGAGTGGAAAATCAACAATCGAGAAGGTGATAGTTGTCTTCTGTTGTATTAACCGTGTCAGAAAGTGGGGTTGGGAGAGCGGAGGGCCAGCTATAAAGTGCACTTCTAAAGGTCTTGAATGCCACATGACTATTTCATGATTTTTTTTCTGAATCCTGGAGTTTTTGAGCAAATGAGTAGCATGATTAAATACTTTAATTAAAATTATTTTACCTTCATTGAGAAGTAGAAAGACATTGTGGGCACAAATTATAACCAGCTATATGATCTGAGCAAGTTATTTAATCTTTATGCCTTTGTATCCCTGTCTGTAAATTAGAGATGCTGCTCATATCTGTCTCATGAAATTGCAAAGTTTAACTGTGCTAATTTATGTACTCCACACAGAATAGTGCCACAAACACACTGACTCCCATTGAACTGATTACCATACTTATTATTAAATATTAAAGGTCATAGAATTTCGGTTATGTTTCGTTCAGGATTCTATGTTCTATGTAATCTCACCATAGTTACTTTAATATTGATATGTGGTTGTATGTCTTCCATAGAAAAGCACAGAAAACTAATTGAAAATTATTATCAAAGATGTAACCTTTTCTTATGTATTTAAATAGGTGAAGGAAAGGCAAGAATCAGAACTGAAACTCAAAGCATTTGCTCCTCCATATGTATGTACTATGATCTGAAACTTAACTAATTTTAAAACTGAAAGTGGATTTGGTTGTTTTTGACTTTAAAAAATTTCCTGTGTTTTAGGCTCTTCAGCCAGAATTATATTTGCTTCCTGTAATAGACCACTTAGGAAATGTTTATTCAGCATCTTCACCAGTTACTTTAGATGAACGTCAGAGTAATAATGATACCACAGAGATTAATGGAATAATTCACAGACCAGATAGTATAACTTTATCAAAGGATGAACCTGGAGATCCAACTTTGTTGGAAAATATTTGGAAAGACTTTACAAATCAAGAAGAAGGTGATTTCAACTAAAATGGGGAAAGCAGAGTTTCTTATATATAGAAATTGAGCAGTCAAGCCTATATGCAAATTTTGAGCAAATCTAACCTTACAAATAGAAGGAAAACAAGGGAAGCTGTAGTTCAATTGGAACTTAAAAATGTACAGATGGGAAAGGAAAACAATTGAAATACTCTGTTAAAGATGAAATATGGGCTAGGGAGGAAGCCCAGAGTGTAATGTGCTAGACTTGCAAACATGAGGGCTGGGATTCAGCACACAGAGCACTCATTAAGACAAACAAAAGCTGGGCATGATGGTGTGCACCTGGACCCCAGCATTGAGGAGGCAGAGACAGGTAGAGCCTTGGGATTTATTAGCCTACCTAGACTGGCCTACTTGGTGAGCTCTAAGCCAGGGAGAGACCCTGTCTTTAAAACACAATGGTGGAACCTGGAGAGGTGACTCAGAGGTTAAATCATTTAGTGTCTTGCCGCGGACCCGAGTTTGGTTCCTAGCATCCACATCAGGCTGATCACAAATGTTTTTAACTACATCCCAGGAGATCTGATACCCTCTTCTGACACCTGGGCTCATGTGTATATCCTCACAAACACACATAATTAAAAAAATACTAGCCGGGCGGTGGTGGCGCGCGCCTTTAATCCCAGCACTCGGGAGGCAGAGGCAGGCGGATCTCTGTGAGTTCGAGACCAGCCTGGTCTACAGAGCTAGTTCCAGGACAGGCTCCAAAGCCACAGAGAAACCCTGTCTCGAAAAACAAAACAAAAATAATAATAATAATAATAAAATACTAATTAAAAAATTAAAAAATAAATTTTTAAATTCACACACAAAAGTAGATGACACCTGAAGGACACCTAAGATTGACTTCTTGTTTCTATGTGTTCATGTCTACACACACCCATACACATTACACACCTACACACACAGTCATACACATACAAAGGGACAGATAAGCTTACATAAACAAATTTTTTAGAAAAATGTCAGTTGATCATATTCATCGTATTTCATGGGCTAAAAAGATGTGCAAGGAAAAATGGGTGTACCAAATGTGAGGTACATCTCCCCCAAACTAATGAAAGCATCCATTGCAACTGCAGGATTTTGTTTCCTAAGTATACTGCCATCTCAGTTTATTCTACATCAGATATTCCAAACATCACTTTCTTTAATATTTCCTGTGTTAATATTTAGTGTTAGTTGATGCCAATAGGATACTGAGTGAGAATCTTCATATTGGCATAGCTCTGCTTTTCATTCATGATAATCACCTAAGCACTAAGGAGAAAATTTGAAAGCATTCACAATAAAATCCAGAGTTTTTGAGTGATATAAGGTAGAGTGGCTAATGAAGATGTGATTACTGTATCAAATTTTGACTGTGTCATATTTCACACTACATGAATTATGATAACTGCATACAACTTTGTAAACTTGTTGGGAACATTAAATTACACAAATTCATCAAAATATGGTTATTTTGTATTTTACATTTATTTACGTGTCTCTGTGTGTGGGGGTCAGAGAACAACTTGTGGGAATGGGATCTCTCCTTCCACCGATCTGGGTCCCAGGATTTAGTCGTAAGACTTGATGAGTGCCTCTACCAGCTAGCCCGTCTTCCAGCCTACAGATGTGGTTCTTAAATGGGGTTAATTTTTGGTGCAAAGCAAAACAAAGCCCCTAGAATTCAGATGAGATGCTGTAATGCATGCTTGTTCTTAAAAGTTCCATAAATTGCAGTGTGTATCAATAATAAAGGTTAATAATGATTCTACTACTCAGAAGTAATTTGTCACAATTTTGATATATGTGTTCCAAATATTGTTGATATTATAGTTTGAATATAAAATGTTTTTGTAAGACCATGTATTTGAAGATTTTGTCCCCAAATGCTGCTATAGCCAGGATTTTCAGGGAGTCTCTCCCAATCAAATCTCATCTCAATCAACCTTGAGTAAATCTGTAGCCTTTCTGAGTTCCATCTAAAATTAAGGCTTTCCTAAATTATCTAGGTTGGTTTAATTCAGCAGTCCCTTCCACAATCCTTTGTCTCCTGACAGCTGTCATTCTCTGTTCATTAGGATTCAAAGTTTAAAATTAACACCATACATAAAATCTCTGTATGTTTTTCATCATTATATGGCTTATCCTATTTATATTATTTTACTCCCCCTTTAAAGACTTTATCTTTTTGTAAACCATTTATTTTTTTCTGTCTATATAGATATATCTATATGTCCATACCCATTTTCTAGTAAGCCTATGCTCAGTTTTTAAACACATTGTTACCTGTTTAGAGATTTTTTCCCTGTCTGATCTGTCTTTCCTGAGCATCTGCAGCTTTCTCTGATCGTGAGACAAATGTTAAGCTGCTGTGTCAGCCTCCAGCCTGGCTCAGCTTTGCACATTGCACTGGCAGCTGGCTCCAGCTCTCAGGCACCAGTCTACCTGAGGTACTTCAGGACTAGGAAATTGCATCTGGATCCTTGTGTAGATCTTTTCTTGGTTTCTCAGCCCCTATGTTTGGATATGCAAGCCCCCACAGTGGACGCCATTTGTAAACAGATTTCTCTTTGGTCCACCAGCTTACAAAATTGTCACAAAGCCTTATTATTATGACAACTTGGCCTTAGCTTAGACTTGTTTCTAACTAGTTCTTATAACTTAAATTAATTCATATTTTTAAATCTACATTCCTATACATGCTTGTTGCCTCATCCCCATTATGCCCATCCTGGGTATACTGCCTCTGGCTGGTGCCTCTGTCGCCTTCTTCCCAGTGTCCTCTCTGCCCGGAAATCCTGCCTAGCTATTTGCCATCCATTCGGCTTTTTATTGAATTAATCAGAGTAGCATATCTTCACAGTGTACAAAAAAGATTATTCCACAACAGGACCTAGCGAACAAACATAAGACCATTGATGCAGCAGGGTTGTAGGGCAGCTCCACTGCTCCCACACGCTCTTGGTTTCCTGGACACTTTCATGTGACAAGCACCTGCCATGTAGTCCTGCCACCAGAACCACAAGCCTCCTCTATAGCCTTGCACACCACCATGCCTCCCAACCAAGAACTGTGTATCTTACTGTTTATTCATTTAGAATTTTTTGCCAATAGGATGGGTGTTAGTAATAGCAATCCACAGTTTGATGCTTACCCAGATATATTTTTGAGACTTTTCAAGCTGTATATTTTGATTAATCCATCCTATTTTGGTTTGTAATATAGCTGTTTATTGGCATAGCAATAAATTTTCAAGAAGAATCATTTATCATTTTTACTGATTGTTTAGGTTAATATAGAAAAAAGTTTCTTGAAAATATTCTCTTAGTCTATTTTGTGTAGAAGAGACGACCTGAGATCATTTCCTTCCTTATTATTCACCCTTTTCAATCTCCCAAATGTGAATCATCCTCACTGGAAAATGCCTGGTGAAGAACATGCAAAGGGTATGGTCGACAGGTTTATTAAAAAGGGAGAAACAGAGATGTGGACATCCCTAATCTGAAATTTGACGTCCAGTGCTCCAAAATCAAAATACCCCAAATTCTGAAACTTTTTAAATGCTGACATGAATACCTTCAGAATGCTTCCTTCATATAACCATGATGTGGGTAGAATTTTCAGGATTTAGTTAATGGTGATGTGTTCAAGTATTTAATACCATTGTAGTATGAGGAGAGAGGTTAGAAATGTACTGTGAATTTATATTTCCTAGAGAGATAGGTAAGGATTGAAGAACTTTGTACAAGCTAATGAATTCAGTGAACAGTGGAAGTCACCTGGAATATTTGACAGGGTTGCATTTCCATTCTAGAAACACAATTTAAGTAACAATAAGAAAAGACATGGGCACTAAAGACCTGATCTAGGAAAATGACAGTTGGGATTGAAATAAGATCTTGAAGTCAGGGACTTCTAAGGCTTAGACAGCGTGCTTCAGCACTAAGCCACTTTCAAGAGGAGGAAAGAATGATGTCCTACCTGCTATGTTAATGCCAGGACCTGAGCATGGTTTTGTTAAAAGCCCATGTTTATACACTGGACTAGAGGCATATTGAATTTTCTTTATTGATTTAAAATGTGATAAGTATTAGTACTCTGTACTGTCAAATGCCTTTTCTTTGCTTAAATTTCTCTTACCTTTGTCACAAACAAGCACAGTTGCATAGATCTTACATGTTGCCCTACTTTTTATTGATGGCAGAAATGACAAATATGTGTCTTATATCCCTACCAAAATGGACCCACAAATCTACTAGGTTTTGCATTGTCATTTCTTTTCTGGGGGTAGCAGGGTGGTGTTTCACTATTACTTTTAAGCAGCTATTATATCCAGTTTTTATTCATTTAACATTAATTAGATCATTTTGAAAATTCCCATTTGCTTGACTTTGTCAATATCAACTGGGAATGTGGTAGCTAAATTTAAAGTGATTTAGCTTCAAGCTGAAAAAAAATGCTTTCTTTATGTGTTTTGGATTTTGCCTTCATGTTTTTGTCTGTGTACTACATTCATGTAGTGTCCAAAGAGGACAGTAGAGGACATTGGATCCCCTAGGATAAGAATTGCAGGTAGTTGTCAGCCACCATGTGGATGCTGGGAGTCAGACCCAGATCCTCTGGAAGAGCAGTCCAGGAACCATCTCTCCAGCCCCCACAAAATAATTTGACAAGCTTTGTAAAGTTACTTTTAAAATGTTAATTTGGCTCACTATTTTTAAATAAATTTTTAGATATTGATTTCAGGGGGAAATAATCTGCAAAGGTCTACATTATCAGTTAGGCCCGTGGATCTTTACAAATAGAGATTTATAAATAGTCTTCACTAATAAAGGTATATTTGAAAAATTATTGTTCTTTAAATTTTTTAAAGATTCATCTTAAAAATTATTTTCTGTGTATGGATGTATTGCCTGCATCAGTGTCTGTGCACCGTGCATATGCCACTGCCTCGCAGGCCAGAGGAGGATATCAGATCCGTTGGAGGCTGTTAGCTACTGTGTGGGTGCTGGGAATTGAACCTGGGTGTTCTGGAAGAGTAGTCAATGTTCTTTAGCTGCTGAACCATCTCTCCATCCCCTAGAATTAAAAGGGAGATTTTACAAGTGAAAGTGTATGTGAAAGTTTCCTTCTGTTTTCATACCAGCATTTTCTTTAGTGAGTTTCTCAGATTATTTAAAAAAATATCTTTAGACAAAAGGTTTTATGAAGACTTAAGTCTGATAAAGCCGAATTTATTTCCTCTTTCAGATTTATGTTGCACATAAAGAAACATGCAATAGCAAGTGTGCACATGTAGGTGTTTTTTGTTGATGAGGGTGGGGGATCAGTTGAGTTCACTAGAGAATCTTATTCATATGAACTAATATTTTGTGAAACTTATTCTGGAAAATATGCATTTGTATTTGCAAAGTTTGTGACATAAGATTATAAGATACACATATGAAAACAATGCTTATTTTACCATATTATTATTATATAATGCTTATTATACTTATGTTTACTAATAATTGTACTTTATTTGCCATGCATGACCATAAACATCAGCTGAGGAAAGCCAGACTACACAAAACCCCCATGGAAGTTCTGAGGTGCCAGGATCATTGGAAGAGTCAAATGATTGTTTGGGGAACCTAAAAAGGTAATTGGTATAAATGGTAATTACACATACCCTAATCTGGAGTATAAGGAAAAGAATGTATTTATTTATACAACATTTAGATTACAGTCTTTTCAAATTAAGCAACAATTATATAAGCAAAATCATTTTATTTACAAAAGAATTATGTTTCTAAAACTTTTAATTATTTTTGGATCTTTTTTTGATTTTTCGAGAAACTTATTTTTAACCCTACCATAATGGATTCATAGCGATGTCTCATTTTACTACTCATTTTAAATATAATTTATGTTGATTATTAATGAGTTTGAAATAAAATAGCCCAGCATCAGTATGAGTCTTTTTTTTTTTTTTTAAATAAGAGGTGTGGGGTTGCACTCTGACGCCCAGGCTGGTCCTAAGCTCCGAGGCTCAAGCAGTCTTCTGCTTTATCCATGGAAAACTGATATAAGCCACCCATCTGGCTTTGAGGTTAACCTTAAACATTTTCAAAGTTACGTTTGTATTTATATAGCATCACTCATGTATGAACATGTAGGTTCTAGTACTCATGGAATAAAGTTTTAATGACTTTCAAATCTTATTCTCTTTTAAGTCCATATCTTTGGAAAGATGGTGATGATAATACAGCTATCAATAGATGGCAGGCCAAACCGGTATGGTATTAAAATTTTTACCTAAATGTAGCATTGCAACATACTAATAGTACAGAAATTAAAATTTTAACTATATCTTAAATACCCACTTTTATTTATAATTCCATAGATATGTTGTAATATCAGTAATATCTCTAGTGGTTCAATTATTATTTCTGCTTTGGTGAAGAAATAATATGCCTAAGTAAGTGGGATGAAAATGTTATCCACAGTAGCTTTTTAGATCATTTTTTAAAAATGCTTTCATTATTTTTAAGGTACTTTAACCTTTAATTGGTGGTTTTATTAGATAATTTGTAATTGAATACACTGATAGGTGTATTTCATTAACGCAGCTTTTAGATCAGATTTCTTGCATGTGTTGAAAGAATAGATAGTAGTAGTTGATGTTATCATTAGTTCTCAGTAACTAGCAGTGTGGCTTTGGATCTGCTGTTTCATGTGTCTAGGAACAGTCTAAAAGGCCTAATGGACAATATTTATATTGCCAGTTTATTCTGAAGAAGTGAAAACATGGAGAGAATTTTGTAAATATCTGCAGCATGAATTAGGACGCTATTAAGATGCAAGTAATACTAGATTTATCACCAGGGATTATTCTAAGGATTTTACAAATATCAATTCGTTTGATTCCCTTTCCCCTGCAAACAACACCAGATCTTATGAGGTAGATATGATTATAAATATTGAGTGTTGACTTAATTGGATTGAAATATGGCTAGGAATTAGTAAGGCTCATTTCTGACTGTGTCTATGATGGTGTTTCCAGAGAGATAGTGGTGAAGGTCCTAAATGGAGACACCACCCTCCAGCACGCTGGGGATCTGTACAGAATACAAGGAGAGGAAGGAAGAAGTCCATTGGTAGACATTCTTGTTCTGGTGCCTGGCTACTCTGAGGTAGTTTTCTGGATCACACAGTCATGTGGCCATGTGTCTGCCTCACCACAGACACATCAATACTAGAGAAAACCAGCTGTGGACTGAGATCACTGAAACTAGAGCTGAAATAAACCTTTCCTTCCTGCAGCCATTGCCAAATGCAGGCATTTTCAGTAGCTGAGCAGCTGTTTTCTACTAACTTAATGGAACTCTCATCTTGGCCATTAGCCTCCAAGAAACAGCTCTTCTTTCAAAGCACTTCCCTTCCTCCTTCAGAAACTGTCTGCTCGTGATAGCCATCTCCAGTTTTCAGTCTGTGTTTTCAGTTTCTTGCTTTTGGACCCACTCATTCAAAGTGCTATGATCTACCAAATATCGCTCTTGGTGGAGTCCTTCCGCTCTAGAATGGAGCAGAGTTGACATTTCTGTGCTGTCTATATATAGTGCTCTGTAATAGAAAGTGTGCGTCCAACTTTGCTTAATTGTGAGCTCCTGGCCACACTCTGGGGTAGAGTTCCTGTTTCCACACTTGCATGTAAAATGCAGGATTCTGTGACCTCATGCTGTCATCATAGCATGGCAAGACTTGAGTTATCAAGAACAGGTAAAAATATGAAAATTAAGAAAATTAAGGCAAGGATTGGCAAGATGGTTCGGCAGGTTAAGGAATTTAACACAAAGCTTGATGACAGCAGGACCAACTTGATGGAGGAGAGGAGTCCTGCAAGTTGTCCTCTAACCCCACCAGGCATACACCCGATACAAAACAAGTATATACATGCAGGAGGAGGAGGAGGGAGGAAAAGATGAGGAACTTTAAATATAAGCAGAGAAGATAGGGCTTGTAAGAATAAGATAGATACAGAACAATATGCTAACATTTTGAAAATGTGGTAGACTCATCAATTTTTTTGGCAAGTATAAATTATCAGAATTGACAGGGTGAAAAAAGTCAATGACCATCTTAAAAACTTTAAGAAGCTATTATATTGAGTGACTAAGATCAGAAATCACACTTAGAAAGATAATGAAGTTTTAAAGCCTTTGCTTATACTGTCTTCATAAAATGTCCAAGCCATAGTGAAATGCAGAGAAATAATCTCTAGCTGCAAATGTAGTGTTGGGGTTCACCACTGCGTAATAAACAAGACATTGTCGGTTGTGCTCCTTCTCCTGCTTGCTTTCAGGTGCGTGACAAGGGGCACGTCACCCTACCAGATCTTATTGATTTCCCTTCATTTCCTCCTCAGCGAGTTTCTTCAAGATTAACAGAGCCCTCTTTGTTAAAAATCGAGAGTAAGTATTTGTAACACCATAAGTATGAATATCTGTGTGAGGCACAGTTAATTGTGTTAATGAAGACTTAAATTTAATGGCCAAAAAGTTTGCATTTATGAATCTTTTAAATTTATGGAGATAGGTTGTGGGAATGGTTATAAAACATTGTAAGAATGCCACTTAACTGTACACTGAAAATAGTTAAATGGCAAATTTTGTTATAAATATTGTACTATATATTACATATTATAAATCATATTAATTTTATGTTGACTACTGTATATTTAGTCACTAATATTTCAATCTCAAATATGCATTTTCTGTATAAGATATAAATAAGCACAGTAACTTTGGGCCCGAAATAAATTTACCAAAAATAGGAAACTAAAAAAATAAAAGGATAACTTAATCTGACTTTCTAGTTTCACACATCTTTGTAAATGCAGAAGAAATATACTATTTTATAAACCCAGGCAAATCAAAATGTCTCCTCCATATTCTCCATAGTGGTAAGAGCAGAAAGAAAAACATACATTCTGAATAAATTTTGTTCTTTTTTATACACTTTCAGGTTTTTAACTCTGTCTTTTGGGATATGAACCATCTTTTAGCTTTTCAGAATTGATGAGTATGGGTTATAATCTCTCTAGGAGAGAAGATTATTGAACAAATGAAACAAGTAAAGGAAGAAAGAAAATATCTGGAAAATATTAGAGAAGAACTATTAAAAAAAGTTGAAAAGCTATTTGAACAAAATAAATCAAAACGATATCATGGTAAGTTTATTAAACAGATTTTATAACTATAAAGAAAACTACCCCTAAATTCTACAAAATTAATAGTTTCAGTATAACTAATACATTCATAATTAATAATTGTCTCACTTGTTACAGTACATAATTGAAGTACATTGATACAGAAATAGGTACATTAATATAGAATATATGTAATTGAAGTACATTAATATAGAAAATAATCATTTGATTTTAAGCAATAAATGCTTTGCATAAGGCTTTGTAAATTAAAACTCAAATATTTTTGCTATCAAAACTCAAATTCTTCCCCTCATTTATTAAGTAAATATAAAGTGTTTAGCATATTTAGACACTGTCATAAGAGCTGAGAAGATACAATAGCTATACAGTTAGGAAAATGATAACCAAGTTAAGAATAAATGATACATCGTGCTTAGTGCTTTATAGAGGAAATTCACAATTGTATGTACAGAAATTTAAAGGAGGAGAACATAAGCTGGATGGAAGAAACAAAGAAAGCCTTCCAGAAGGAGTTGGATGCACTAGGGTCCAAGTGTGTCCCATGGCTTCATGCCTTCCACCATGTTCTTCTCTAGTCATCAACTGATCTTTCTCTCACTTGCTTCTGCTCGGCTCACTGGGTTGTTTCCAACAGGTCATTCCAGGTCATGTATCACTAACTCTAGAAGCCATCTTTAGATCTTTGAATTGCCATAGCTGCTTAATTTGGGGGTATATGTGCCTTGCTGCTTTGCTAATATGAATGAATGAGGGAACTTAAGGGGGAAAGTCATTTTCTTACAATAAAACCAGAAGCAATATGATTCAAGCTAGTATGAATGAGTGGAAATATGAGCCAGAGCAAGGAAAGTATAAGATGGTTGTTTGAGAAATAGTAAATGATTTGAGAAGCCTTCAATTTGGGTTGCATTTGAGGATTATGAAGAAAAAGCCATATGTGGAATTGATCTATTTTAGAATTCTTAATTTATAGCAAAATACTAAAAGTTTCAATCCTCAAAGTGACTGAAGGCCATGGACCATTTCATAAGCTATGAAGAAGATGCTTAAGAATACTGAATTGTTGCCTTGAAGTAGTGACTTAACCCTGAGTAATACTGAAAGAGTCAAATTAACACTGGACTAGAAGTCATGGGGCCTAGATTCTAATACTAAGTCAGTCTTTTACTTAGGCAAGTTTCCTTTTTCTTGTGCATCTTACTCTTTTCATATCTAAAATGAAAATTGAGTCACTTCAGAAGAAATGTACATACTCACCTACACACACAAAATATCAGATATTTAGTGATCCTGCTATGTGCTAAGTATTAATTTAAATACTAAGGATGCAACAATGAACAGAATCGACCTGAATTTGGCCCTGCTATGAGGAATGTGCTTCTAAACAGCAGGGGACTGACAATAAGACAGTATCAGCTAGTGATCAGAATTTCAAAACTAATGTAAAAGAGCACAGTTGGCTGGAGAGGTGGCTTGGCAGTAAGAGAACCAGCTGCTCTTTTAGGTTGATCCAGGTTCAGTTCTGAAAAACCATGTAATAGTATATGTAATTCCAGTTCCAGAGGACCCAGTGCTACCTTCTGGCCCCTATGGGCAATGCACACACATGGTGCCCAGATGGGCATGTAGGCAAACACACACAAATACAGTTGAGAGGAATGCAGCATGGTACTTTAACTTGGGTTCCCAGGAAGGCATTTCTGAATAGAGATACCCAAATCAGATTGAGGCAGGCATTGTAAAGAAATATCAGTCTGCATAAGAGGAATAGTAAATATCCAAGTGAAGAGATAAGGATGGCCTTGTTGTGGTGGTAGTCAGGCTTGAAAAATGCCCAGAGTAGATAGAGCATGTTAAATAAAGTGAAATGTAGGCAAAAAAGTGAGAAAATCAGAAAACCCAAGTCAAAAGATTGGATTTTATTCTAAATAAGATTAGAAGCTCTTGGAGGATTTTAAACTAGATTACACAATCTTAGAAACATTTGGGGACCACGTATTGTGACACACCTTTAATCCCAGCACTTGGTAAGCAGAGGCAGGCTGATCTCTAAGTTCAAACCCAGCCTGGTCTATACAGTGAGTTTCAGGACAGACAGGGTTTACAGAGTTGTAGAAGTTCCTTGGTAGAATTTTTGGGATCGCTTATGTAAACTATCATATCATCAGCAAACAGTGAGAGTTTGACTTCTTTTCTGTTTTGTATCCCCTTGATCTCCTTTTTTTGAAATTCTTCTACCTATTATTCTTAGATTTGGCCTTTTCATGGTGTCCCATATTTCCTGGATATTTTGGGTTAAGCTTTTGTTAGATTTAATGTTTTCTTTTACTGATGAGTCTGTTTCCTCTGTTGTATCTTGAGCACTTGAGATTCTCTCTTCCATCTCTTGTAGTCTGCTGTTCATGCTTGTGTTTGTGGTTCCTGATCATTTTCTCATGATTTCTGTTTCTATAATTCCCTCGGCTTGTTTTCTTTATTGTCTCTATTTCAGTTTTCAAGACCTGAATAGTTTCTTTCATATATTTTATTTCTTTTTCTTGGTTTTCTTTAAGTGATTTACTGATGTCTTCCAATTTTTTTTTTTAATATTTATTTATTTATTATGTATACAATATTCTGTCTGTATGCCTGAAGGCCAGAAGAGGGCGCCAGACCTCTTTACAGATGGTTGTGAGCCACCATGTGGTTGCTGGGAATTGAACTCAGGACCTTTGGAAGAGCAGGCAATGCTCTTAACCACTGAGCCATCTCTCCAGCCCTGTCTTCCAATTTTTTGTTTGTCTTTTCCTCTATTTCCTTAAGTGAATTTGTCATTTCCTCTTTAAGAGTTTCAAACATTCTCTTGAAGTTATTTTTTAGGTCATTTTCTTCTGCTTCATCCATATTTGGTTGTTCAGGTCTTACTGTTGTAGGGCTTTTAGGTTTTACTGGTGTTGTGTTGTTCTTTGTGGTGTTGCACGTGTTCTTATCTTTACTCATCTTTTTCTCTAATAGGTGTGGTTGGGGCTGTCTGAGATTCTGTTGCATAATCTGGTACCACTGAGTCCAAAGCTCAGATGGTTGTTCCTCATGGTACAGTCAGTGTCACAGTTATAGTTACCCTGTTGGTTACTCCATGTTCCTGGAGATAGGTCAGCACTCCTGGGCTTTGCTCTGCTCCCTTGGAGTTTGCTGTCTCAGACCTTTTTGGCCTAGGTTGCTGGCTTTGCCCTCTTTCTGTATATCCTGGTCTGGATCCCCTCCTGCAGAAGTCCCTGGCTTGGAGTTGGACCTGGAAAGGTTTCTGGCTCTAGTCTGCTGCCTTGGAGTTCCCAGGCTTGGGTGCACCCAGAACCTCAGAAGACCTGGCTCAGGCTTACTCCCTCAGAGGTCCCAGACTCATGCTCGGACCCACAGAGGTTCCAGGTTCCTGTCTATTCCCTTTGATGTCCCAGACCAATGCCTGGACTCACAGAGGTCCTGGCTCAGGCCTAGTTCCTGGTAGGTCTAAGACTCACGCCCAGACCCACAGGGGTCCTGGCTTAGGTCTACTCCCTTGAAGGTCCCAGATTCACATCTGGACCCTCAGCGGGCTCTGGCTCTGGCTCACTCGCTCAGCCGTTACTCCCCTCAGCCGTTACTCCCCTGTACCTGTTCCAGTGGAGATCACTGACTCCGGATCTAGTCCTGATCCGCCAGTGTCCCAGGACTGTGTTGGCTCCTGGAACTGGCTTTGCTCCTGGCTTCTGCTCCCATTGGAGCTTTCCCTCCCTTTCTTCATTTAGCATCAGGCCTTTGTATAAACTTCTCATTTCCTTGTGTCAGGAGTTGGCTCCAGTATTTCATTCCCTGTGCTCCTCAAAAATGGGAGTATTTTTGCTCCACTTGTTCTTGTTCATTCTAGATCTATAATGAGTGGTCACTAATAACAATGTGACACAGTCAGTACTATATTGGCTTGAAGTTTCTGCTGCCATTATATTAGTCCAAAACTCTTCAATTTAACTTCAGGGAAATTATTAGGAGAAAAACAAAAAGCAGCCACTTTCATTGCCAAAATTTTACAATAGTTGTCTCTACCCAGTTGCTAATAGTGTTCGCCTCTGAAACCTCTTGAGCTGGGCCTCATAGTCCACATCACTCCCGTCACTACTGTCCTTCAAGTTCTTAGTAGGATGGCCTGTTAAACCTAGTTTACAGCAGCCAGACACTCTTCAAAGTCACATTCCACATTCAACATGCTAACCAGCCATAGCAATACCCTAAACCCTAGTACCAACTTCTCTCTTACTTACTTTATATTGCTGTGAAGAGACACCAAGACCAAGGAAACATAACAAAAAGCATTTAGTTAGTGACTTTGTTAACAGTTTCAGAGCATTATGACTATGAGCATTATGACACAAAGCATGGCAGGAAGCGGACAGACAGCACTGGTGCAGTACCTGGGGACTTAGATCTGATACAAGCGGGAGGGAGGGACGGAGAGACAGAGACAGGGACACTGAGCCTCGCGTGGACTTTTCCTTCACCCCCAGTGGTACATCTCCAGATAAGGTCACACCTCCCAATCTTTCTGAGTTTTACTAACTTCGCACCAAACCTTCAAGTATATGAGCCTGTCTCATTCAAACCAGTACACTAAGGATATTACTATCTAGCAGACTTTTTTTCTTTTTTGGTGTGTAAGAACTGAAAACAAGGAAAGAAGAAAAATGTTTTAAATTGATATTTTTTTAAACTCTAGGATTCTTTCTACCTTAAAACTTTAGTCCTTCAACATAATGATTCTCAACCTTCCTCGTTTGTGACCCTTCAACATATAGTTCCTCATGTTGTGGTTTCCCTGACCATAAAATTATTTTTTTTTGCTACTTCATAACTGTAATTTTGCTACCATTATGAACTGTAATGTAAATACTTGCGTTTTCCAATTATCTTAGGTGGCCCGTGTGAAAGGATCATTTAATCCTCAAACAGGTCACAGCCGACAAGTTGAGAACCACTGCTTTAACAGTATCCACCTATAACTCTTGTGGTTTGTGTTTTGTTTGTAGTCTGTGACAGCTGGAAGAAAAAATACTTGGACACCAAGAAAGTCACAGCATCACTGGAGGAAGTTTTAACAAAACTTCGAGAAGATTTGGAACTTTACTATAAAAAACTCCTCATGCAGCTTGAAGCCAGGGAGATCAAGATGCGACCAAGGAATCTGGCAAATATCTCAGATTCAAAGGTACTATTAACTGTTCTCCCTTCCTCTAGAAAAGTCCTATGCAGGAAGTATGCTTTAATTTGTGTTTTTGTTTAGGATTCTCCAGGTTACTTGGAGAGTAAAAAACAAAGTCCCTAGCCTGCTGAGGAGGCACAAGTCAGAAGATAATGTTTCTTAGGGCCTTGATGCTGGTATTTCCTCCCTGTCGGTATTGTTGGCTTCCTAAGACAGCTTTTTTTTCTAGCGCCAGCAGTAGAGTTGAAAGTGACTAATAAGATCATAAGTTTTTAAAACAGGAGAGAAACCTGACCCAGAGTGCTTAGGTGTTCTGAAAAAGGGTCATTCCAAGATGTAATTTCAGCTCTCTGTCATAGCAAGGAGGAACAGCTTCTATGAACTGAACTTCCAACAGCCATGCAAAGGCTTAGTTACTGATTGTCATATAAAAGTTGTTTTGGGGGTAAACAGGTTCCTCATACCAAAGCCATGGTCTAATCTGTACGTTTTCTGAAGGAAAGTGTCATGCTCTTGCCACCTTTGTCCTCACTGTCTCTGTCTGCAGTACCCAGAAATTCAAGACCTCTTGGTGTGCCAGGAGCATCTTGTGACCAAAATCATGCTTCCAAAAACCAGCTCCGTAGCTTAGAGAAAACAATCTAAGTTTTTCCATAGAGAAAACAATCTAAGTTTTTCCATGATGACATCTTCAAGGTCTAAGAACTTCCAGAAAACAACTATTCATTCTGATATTTACCCTAGATACAGTGAAAGGCAACTATTTCATTCCAATGTTTAACCTTGATACCGCGATTCTACTAGGTCTCCTACAACGACAGAGTCATGAAATATAAAAATCTTTCCTTTAGCCTTGTGGAGCTTAACTAGGCATAACTCTGATTCAGTAACAAATGTTCTGGTTGCCTTAGGGTGATTAGCATTACAAAGAAATCAATAACTGATACACAAGAGTAAGGTGCTAATAGAGCTAGCTCACTGTAGTCCTATGGGTAGAGGGAGTTGCAGCACCAACAGAACTCAAAATTACTGATATTCTATGGAATTCTTTAAATCATGGAATTTTGATCAACTCATTTTTTTTCTTGACATAATCTTGCATCACAGACAAGAGTATCCTTTATTGTATAATTCTACCACATAATTAAATAGGCAAAAATAAAGAAACCAGCATTCATTAAGTTTGTTTTTATTAGATTTATCTTACATGTCCAAAAGATTTAAAGATATGTTAATTTTGATAATGACTTCACTTTGATAGTGACATGGTGAAATAGATAATGTTTTACTACTTTAGGTAAATTTAAATAAAATCCAAATAGGCTAAAATAATTACTTAACATATTATTCAATACTATTTTAGCCTAATTAATATTTTTATCTTATAATTGTATTGGTTCTATGTAGTGGCATTTTATAAATAAAGCTTGCCAGAAGACCAGAGAGTAAGTAAAACAGCCCCACTGGTCAGCCCGTACAGAGCAGGCAGTAGTAACACACACCTTTAATCCCAGTAGCCACATTATTGCCATAGAAACTAGGTGGTGCACGCCTTTAATCCCAGAACTAGAGAGGATTATAAAACAGGAGGAGACAGCTCTCAGTCACAGTCTCATTCTGAGATTCCTGGAGGTAGGATCGCCATTTCAGACTGAGGTAGAGGTGAGAGCCATTGGCTGGTTGTTTTTCTGACCTTCAGGTTGAACCCTAATTTCTCTCTGTTTTTATTAGCCATGCTTCAGTTCAGCATGAGAATTTGATTCACAAGGAAGTTTAAAATTTTTTTTGTTGTTGTTTTGTTTGTTTTCTGTATTTTGAGAATGGGTTTCTCTGTGTAGCCTTGGCTGTCCTGGAACTCATTCTGTTGAACAGGCTAACACTGAGTTCAGAGATTGCCTGCCTCTGCTTCCTAAGTGCTGGGATTAAAGATTTATTCCACCACAGTCATACATGGAGGTATAAAATTCTTAAATAACTTCTTAGTAAAGAGAACTGTACTGCATACATTTTTCAAGAAAAAGTGTTTGCTCATATCTTCATAAGATAATAATGTTAATGATGTTAAATTGATGGTCAGTTTTACAAATTTCTGAGACAGGATCTTACCCAGTTTGGCCTCAAACTTGAGATCCTTCTGCCTCAGCCTCTGAATATTGAGAAGTATGTGTCATGATGCCAGGCTCAGTTTTTTTAAATAATAGATGATTAGAGGTAGAACAGGAGAGAAAGTCACTCCTAAAGCACAAGAGCTCAACAGAAAGGAGTTTGAATATCTACTCAAAACAATAAGATTTTCTGAAATAGATTATTTTTGTGATCATTTCATAGTTTATATTCATAAGGCTTTTTATAGTAAATATACAAATATTATTCTAAATAAATACAAATATTATTCTAAATAAATGATTTTCTGTCTCACACAGAATTATCTTATAATCCAGATCACTGAAGTACAGCATGCAATTGACCAACTTAAGAGAAAACTGGATACTGATAAAATGAAACTCATATTAGAAGTTAAGGTAATCTATATTTCTCCTAATCAGATTATAACATTCATCTTGAAATAAAATAGTTTGGAGTTTATCGTTAAATATCAGTATTGTAAGGGTAGCCTCACTGACTCTTTAAGTTAGTGCACTTTAGCAGCAAAGAATATGGATTAAAAATGTGGGAAGAAAACTAAATACTATAAAAAGATGCATGCTACAAGGCCAAAGAAAAATTAAGTAAAATTTTACTAGAAGTAATTAAAAGTTAAAGGATCATGTGAATCAGTATAATATAAACAGAAAAACACTTTAAAAATAGTTTTCTACATTTTCTGACATTCATAAATCTGACAAACCTAATAAGCCTCAAACTCCCACTTAATTTGTTCCCTTTTCTTGCTATTATTTAAAAATATAAAGTATGGCTCTTCTGCTAGATGCTAAACTTTGAATTTTATTTACTCCTATCTACTACATGGGACAGAGCAGTTCTAGATGCAGTTCACTTCCCTGAAGGCTGCCTCAGCACTAGAATGCTTGGGACAGAACACAGGATAACTTCATTAAGTAGTATGCAATAAAAAATTTGTCCAGTAAGGGAACCGTATCTGTTCAGTATGTGGAGAAGCCAAGGTTTAGACTTGTATACCTGAGGATAGTGGGGTGCAGAAAGGAGGATATCTAAACTGTCAATCACTTTCTTCCAGGGAGCATGCACATTAGAGTTTACCTTCTGTATAGATGGTAACTTTACACGTCTGACTTATGACTTCACCCTAAATAGTAATTCAGTTTTAAAGACAAGAAATTTTCATCTTACGGATTGGAAGGAAAAAAATCCTGTATTTAATCATAGTGCCTAAAAGACATGTAGCCAATAGTATTTATTGACTTCTGAATGAACCACCTAAAACATCCCCACCAATACCATTGAGAAATACGAGAAAGAAAATCAACCATATTTATTCAAGGTAGTGGAGCATAAGTAGTGCTTCTGAAGTTTAATGGTTTTATCTTAACAGGAGAATTTGTTTAAAATGCAGCATTTGACTTCATAAACCCAGGGGAGCCTGAGGTTCTTTATTCCTAACAAATTTGTAGGTGGTGCTCATGCTTTTAGTCCATACACAGTATGTGGAATACAGGTGACTGTTCCAGTTTTGCACTCTGAGCAAAGTACTCAGCCTTTTGGTTGGCTCATTTCCTTAATTATAAAACGAGGAAATCAAAGGTTTAAGACCCTTAGAAGCATTTTGGGCACAGGTGTATCCTATTATGTGTCTTAACTATCCATTTCCTAAAGGCTCTATTCAGGATCCTGTTACTGCCTGTTTTACTTGTTGCACACTGAGATTCTGAAGCTAAAGTTCTTAAAAATAAATTTCCTTTCATTCTATATTTTGAGACATTTCTACTGCCCTTTATATACTCATAAAGGATGTAAGAATGATGGGTAACTTCAGCTTACTGTAGTGATCTAGTAAGAGGGAAGGCATGAGGGGTGAGGACAGTTCCCACCATGACATCCTTTTAGAAAGCTGAGATGAAGCTCATGTTTAAAAGACACCTCTTTCTACAGATGAGGAAACAAGCAGTTTCAGATTTACAGACACTGAAAGCTGAACTGACACAGAAGAAAATGGGCACATCCTTCCGACCACCAATACGTATGTTCATTTAACTTCTCTCTTGAAATTTTAGATAAGGATTTGAACAAAGTAAGCCATTTTGTTCCTTGGCAATATTTTATGTAAATCATAAGGTTGATGTATCAGTTAAGAATAAGAATAAATTTAAAAGCTGGGCGGTGGTGGCGCATGCCTTTAATCCCAGCACTCAGGAGGCAGAGGCAGGTGGATCTGTGAGTTCGAGACCAGCCTGGTCTAGAAGAGCTAGTTCCAGGACAGGCTCCAAAGCTACAGAGAAACCCTGTCTCGAAAAACTAAAAAAGAATAAACTTAAAAATAAGACTTCAATTTTACGTTATGTATGGGTATAGCAAATTATAATATAAATCTAGTGAGTATTTTGAAGACTATTACCTATTTTATAGCCCTACATTTTATAATTTCTCATTTTTAATAAAGTTAAAAGCCAGTATTGTGGCAAAATTAATGATTAGCAAAATGTGTAATGTTTTAGTAAATACCAGTATATTTGCCTAGAAATAGAATTTATTATATTAATGATATTTTGATTAGAAACAATTGTATATACATGTATGACAAATTTGTGTCTAATAATTTAATTTGTACTGCTTTTAGAAATATAGTTATTTAACATATACTAATGAAATAAATAATTTTACTGCCATAAACAACTATGTAAATAAAAAACATAACATACCTGATAAATCACTTACTCCAATTTGGAAGGGGATCATATGTAAAGGTAGGATTTATGTACATGGAATTCAAAGAATACAAACTGTAATGAGTCTTTTTCTGTTCTGCCAGCCAGCTCCTAAATAATGACACTGAGACTTCTTATTAGTTTTGAAAGCTCAGCCGATAGTTTAGGCTTGTTTCTAACTCTTATAAATTAATTTACTTTCTGCCGTATCATTTTATTCCTTGTATCTGTAGTGCCAATCTTGCTTGCTCTGTGTCCTTGGAGGCTTCACTTTTTTCTTCCCAGTGTCTTCTGCTCAGAAATCCTGCCTAGCTATTGACTGTTCAGCTTTTTATTAAACTAATTTCCCAGTGTCTTCTGCTCAGAAATCCTGCCTAGCTATTGACTGTTCAGCTTTTTATTAAACTAATCCCAGGAACACATCTTCACAGTGTACAAAAAGATTATTCCACAACAAACATTTAATTTATGTATTTTCAGGAAGTAATATATATTTATAATATGATTTATTGTATTTTTACTTAATTTTATATGCACGGATGTTTGTATGTCTGTGTACCATGAGTGTGTCAGATCCCCTGGAACTGGAGTTAAAAGATCTCTGGGGAAATGGAGCCATGAGCTGCCATGTAGGAGCTGGGAATTGAAACTCTTACCTGCTGAGCCAGCTCTCCAGACCTGTAACACTGTTGTTAGTTGCTTTGAGAAAGAGAACAAAAACTGCTTTACATTTAGAAATTCACAGAAGTGATCTTTTAGAAAAAGACAGTAAGAATAATGTTCTTATGTAGCTTAAAAGCAAACTGCAAATGTTGAAGAAAAACAAGAAAACTAGGCAAGAAATGAGTATTAATAAGTGAAGGACCATGAATGACTACAAGTATAAAGAGTGAATAGAATCAAGTTCAACAGCAGCTGCTTCTCACTACAAGAATTTTACACATAAATCTCACAGCAGGTACTTCAAACTATCTTCTCACGTTTAATATGTATGCATACTTTTATCTCATGCACTTAATGGATTAAGTGAGTCTAATGTGGGTATGTCATGAAGCATTCATAGGAGGAGTTAAGAAGCAGAAAAATCGTGTCTATAATCATTTTAATGAAGAGATACCATATTCCTGATTCTAAATTTAAGATTTGTTGAAAATAAATTTAACATAAACTGCTTCTTAAAGACTAAGCCTTAATTTCCATTTCAAGTTAGAGTTCTTGTCAATTTTTTATTAGCATGTAATAATTGTAAAAAATAATGGGCTTCATTCTGATATTTTATATATGTATATAACCTAATTTGATCATATCATTCCCCACATTACTCTCTTTTGTCTAGTAGTTACACATATTTTTAAAATCAGTAATGATTTTTAACAGTATATTTTAATACCAGGAGAGAAAATTCAGCATGAAATTTTGAAAGCAATTTTCCTAACTAAATTATAATATTGAAACATAGAGAAGTATTTAAAAGTATCTTTTATGTTCAAGTAAAAATTTATTTCTTACCTGTTTTTTGAGTATACCAATAGGTAAGTTATGACAACATGAAAAAAATATATCTTTGCATGATACAACTCATTCTTGCAAAATCTAATAGTCTGACAAAAGATGTTCCTCTCTCTCCATCACAACCATGGTTTTAAGGCTCCCCACATTGCTTTTGTTTGCTCTCTGGCTAGAGTGTCTTCTGAGTAATCAAGACAGTTTGCATTCCACATGCCAATGCCCCGCAAGCCATAGTTTTTGACATATGCTGCCTTTAGTGAAATGCTCTGGGGGTTGTCATACCACACTTGATGAAAACGGCCAGCGGGATCCTATACAAAAACAAGTAAATTGGAAATTTAAAGAATTCAGTACAGCAGAATAAAAGTTCTTAAATTTAAGGATTCAAAATGCATGCAAAGAAATAATGAAAATTTTATAGCACATTACTTTCCTGCTGTGTTACTTCATGGTTATATACATGATATTCCTAAATATTACCTTGTGGTACTAACAATGTAACCTCCTAATGTATTCTATTTAAGAGCCTCCTGTCTTAAGATTCTTTATTTGATCTGTTCTAATGACTGTCAACTAAGAGGCTCAGAGGCGCACTTGAATCATTGTAAATCATGGAGCATTTACATTTATAGACTCTAGAAGGGTCTGGTGATGAGCACTTGGCGCTCACAAGGATGAGGCAAGAAGATCATGAGTTCAGGGCAAGCCTAAGCTACACAGTGAGACCCTGTCTAGAACAATACAAGACACAACAGTTCAGATCCCTATGTCTCACTCCGCATAAAACTTAACGAATCAAATTCTTCTAAGGCAGGTGCTAGGATTCATATTTGTCCTCTGTGTTAATATTCCACTGGGTAACTGATATGCAAGCCAAGTTAAAAAGAAAAACTGCTGCTGTCCATTAAAACCAGCTTGTCTGCTTATTTGTTTGTATTCTTTACAGTTTCTGGAAGTGTGCCAACTTAGGAATTTGACAGATGAAGACTGTGCTAAATCAGCCAGAAGAACAGGTAATAGCAGTGAAGGAGGAAAGTGCCATCTGCCTAGGTCTTACAGAATCGATTCTAAAAGGCTGCTGGAGGGGACTACCTGGATGACTTAGCACAGAACTGATCAAGAACAATGAACTAGATTGTGGTCTTGTACCCTGTACCACTGTCTCTCAAGAAACACATGGGTTATTTAAAAATAAATGAAAGGACCAGATGTAGGCAAAAGAACAAATGAAGGAGGAAAATGTATTAGGAGAAAAAAACAGAACTATAGTGAAAAATATGTTTTATATGCATGAAGAAACCACTTAAAGGCAATTCTGAATGAATGACAGTAATGTTTTTATCTGTGGTGGCACTCTTGGAATTAGTTTTTTGATTAGTCTACTTTGAAGAACAATAGTAATTTCATAAGCAATTAGGCTGTGGTACATTACAGTTTAGTGAACTCATTCAAAAAGGCATATCTGATTCTTCATTCTTTACACTTTGTGGATTGATTGGTTTAAGCATGCTTAAAATATACATTCTAGAATATTGAGACGAAGCTGCTACTGCTGAACCGAATGAAAAAGCTGAATGATTCTTTTCAGACACAACAGAAACTTGATTGTACTGTGATTGAAAATGAGGAACATAGTCATAAGAATAGACTGTTGCTTAAAGTGCCATCAGATGGCCTCCAAAGGCTCCCCAAAATGTTTCATGAATTATTTGACATCAACTAGTATGTTCTGGATAGTGGTTACCAACACACACAGTCAGATGAAAGGAATAGCTCATGAGTAAGAAGTTAGAGCTTTAGACATAAAGAAATCAAAGGAAAAATGCTGTCCACCTTGATTTTATCATTGGATGCTGTGTATTGCATTGAAAACCACTCTACATCCCATTGATATATATGCAACTAATGCATGTGAATAAAAATATTTTAAAGTATGTCTAGGAAATAAACATTCTTAACCCCAAAACTAACTCATCTATTCTTTCAAAGAAACTAAAATGGTGTTTATATCAGAAGATGTGGCTGGGGAGAATGGGAGACGTTCAAAGGACACACTACTTAGACAAGGAAGTAAGTCAGAGAGATGGAGTAAGTACCACTATCACTAAAAGCAAGGTAGCAAGGGTTTACAAATTTTACAATTGCTGATTTTAACTGATCTCACTATAAAAGAACTGTCTGAAGTAAGACACATGTAATAGTCTATTTATGGTATACAACCTGCTTTGATATACATATTTTCTTGAAATTATATCTATTTTTAAAAATGTTTCTGCATCTTCTCATTTAGTAAAAAAAAACACCAATGATTATAAAACAGTCTATGACAGTATATACTATCATTTTTTATATATTAAATTATATATATAATTGATTACTATAACAATAAAATACTGTTCCCCTACCCTGTTCTGAGTGGACTGAAGCAGGTTCTATGTTAAATAAATAGCTTTATGTATTACAGTATTTCTTAAATATTTTAATATAATTCCATACAATAGAAATCCCCGGGAGGCTGGAGAGATGGCTCAGCGGTTAAGAGCACTAGCTGTTCTTCCAGAGGTCCTGAGTTCAATTCCCAGCAACCACATGGTGGCTCACAAGCATCTGTAATGAGATCTGGTGCCCTCTTCTGGCCTGCAGATGTACATGCAGGCAAAACACTATATATAAAAAAATCTTTTTTTCTTAAAAAAAGAAATCCCAGATCAATAGATACAGCCAACTGTTTTCTAAATATGCTTGATCATTACATATGCATGCAATTTGCACATATATGTGCATGTCTGTGCATATGCTAACAGTTCTCAGAACAGAGTTCTAATAATATTGCATATATGTGTACGTATGTCCACGTTTGTATGTGTGTATATACTATACATATAGATATATGTATGTTTTCTTATGTAATGTCTTTCTGTTTCTTCTAAGATTCCTTAAATTTGTTTTACTTATAAAATAAAATCGACAAATTCTGTTTTTCAGTATAAAAACTATAACGACTCATCTATTAACCTCAGCTTCATTCCCACCTCTCTGAATCTCATTAGAATAGAATAGAATAAGCTATTTTGAAATAAATGGAGACTTTCAAACATAAAACCTACTTTGTCCAAAGCCCTTTGAAAAGCAAATTACCTTAGCATAATTGTCAGCTATTAAGGTAGCCCTGTTTGTGATATGCATAAACATTCAAAAGAAAGTAGATCAAACAGAGTATTGCACTAGTAACATAACTTCGGTTGTTCCCCAGTCAACTAAATTTCCTGATTACACAGACTCAAAGACAGGTTTATGCACATAAACAGTAAAACTGGTAAATTACTAATATCAACTATATAACCACAAAATACAGAATTATGGAAACCAGTAAAGGTCATACATAGTTTATGACAGTTTACCTTGTAGTTATAATAGGGAGCTTGCTGGTCCTCATCCCACTGGCTTCCAGAAACAGAACTATTTACTTGCTTCATGATCAGTTTGTAGGGCACCTGACGTCCTGCAGCGTCGCTGCAAGGAGCCCCTCGAAAAGGGACCTTTGCAATGGTGCAGATGTCATCCTAGAAATACAAAAATAAAAATGTTCATGTTATTACTAAGAAAATTTAAAAATCCAAATGAGACAAGTAATAAAAACTGTTAGAAATAGAAGATTCAGTATTATCTGAATGTACAGAATAATCATTAAATTGATAATAAAATGAAAATGCATGGCATTCAGAAACTTCCATATTAAAGAATTAAAAAAAAACAGTTTAGCTTCAAAATATATTTCAGAGGGGCTGGAGAGATGGCTCAGTGGTTAAGAGCATTGCCTGTTCTTCCAAAGGTCCTAAGTTCAATTCCCAGCAACCACTTGGTGGCTCACAACCATCTGTAATGGGATTTGGTGCCCTCTTCTGGCCTTCAGGCATATACACAGAATATTGTATACATAATAAATAAATATTTAAAAAAAATACATTTTAAAAAATATATATATTTCAGAAATTATTTAAAGTTTCACATATTCAAAGCAGAACAAAATATATAATGGAGTAATACTATATAGCAAATAAGTTGTTCTTACCTCTGATATATTCAAGCAGATATAATCATAACCATACCAGGGAATACCCATTACGAGTTTATTAGGGCTAATGCCCATCTTGATGTAGTCAATATATCCTAGTCACAAGGGGATAGAAAAACACATAATTCTGTTTATATATCTGTTAATATGTACATAGAAGCTAGGCAACCACGGAAAATCTTAAGTTTATAGAAACAGATACATTTGTGCAGATATATCTTTACAATAAAAGTCATCCCTTAAGAACTGGAAGTCCTATGTCATACTTTCTAAGTTTTCATTTTTAATAAGAGACAATATCCAATGAAGATGATATGAATACAAAATACACAAAATATAATTGGAGAAATGAAAATTGCAAGAAACCATACTAATTTAGCATGTTAGCTGTTAACATTTTTGATATTTGAGATTCTAAAGCTTCTATAATCTTAAAACTTTGTGGCAGTGATATTCAAACTTTCTTTTAGAAGCTCAAGTGTTCCATCTTTAAAAATACTCTGTTTCCTAATGGCTACATAAGAAATGTCCTTGCTCTTATTCTGGAGTAACCTGTAGTTTAGGACACAAAGAATGAACAAACTCCATCTACTCATGAGAACGGTGACTGACTAGATCTTGTGCCAGTCCTGTGCAGGCAGTCCTCGGAAGAGCTCTGGCTCGTACATCCTTTCTATCTACCTCAAGTGGTCCCTGAGCCGCGTGCATGCGTGTGCGTGCATGCATGTGTGTGTGATACAGTTCCCGTAAGTTCCTATTTGTGGTTTAGTCCATATACAATTATTGTCTGCACTCTGACCAGCTGTGAATTTCTGCATTTAAATTCCATAATATTAAACAAAAATATCTTGGCACATGAAAAGTGTTAGACTTGAAGTATAATGTAGGATCAATAATAATATAGCTATCCCATGATCTGTAATAAGTAAATGAAATTTTCAATTTTTTTGTAAATACTAAAGCATTACAATTTTATTTTATTGTATAATAAATTTTATAATACATTTTATTATATTTTATTTATAAAGCAAGCTTTTATGTAAAAGGTATATAAATAATTTAAAAAAACTAAAAGGTACTTTAGTGTGTGAGGTTTTGGAGTAAATATTACCAAGTGATCATTTCCTTTTTTTTTTTTTTTTAAGATTTACTTATTTATTATGTATACAACATTCCTTCCATGTATGCTTGTATGCCAGAAGAGGGCACCAGATCTCATTATATATGGCTTTGAGCCACCATGTGTTTGCTGGGAATTGAACTCAGGACCTCTGGAAGAGCAGTCAATGCTCTTAACCACTGAGCCATCTCTCCAGCCCGTGATCATTTCTTGAATTCTTACCAGCTAATGTCTGATTATAGGGAGCATTGGCTGCTGCAATACATTCTGACCAGATCTGACTTTGCTCATCGTAAGACATGACGAAGAGAAAATCACAGGCACCCGCAATTCCCGTGTAATTATAGCACCTTTTGTCTATGTTCTTTGGTGACCAAGCTACATCAAAGGTTACCTGTGGGAAAAAACTGCATATTATTTTATATAACATGGAAAAGTATATTATACCAGATTTTTATCATTCTCTTGCCTCATTCTACTAAAGAATAAAGAACTGCTTACAATGTATGCATATGTGATTGGATGCATGTAGAAGAGGTCTAATAAATATATTTTGTTATTACACTGGACTGGCCTGCGCATGTATGGATACACAAGGACCAGGAGCACAGCACTGTAAAGAAAAAGAATTTCAAATTCCGATGTTCTCAAAGGCTGGGCTGGTAACTCACTGACTGAAAGAAGCAGGTTCAATAGTAACACTATGATGGGGCCCTGGAGAAGTGTAAGAAGAAGCCACATGAGAAGAAATCAAATACAGAGACGTCACACCTCAGGGTACTACCTGAGGTATTCTGAGTTAGTCCCTGAATCATAATATGACATGGTAGCGTGGACCCAGTATTACAGCCAGAGAATTGGGCTTCATTAATCAACTCAAAATGCTTAGCTTATCATTTAAATGATCTTACTTTCTGGACACAACCAAATGAAACAGGTGCTAAAATAAAATATCCTTTACTTTGAATGGTGATCACCCAGGATTACTCACTTCAATTTTTTTTTCCTTAACAGAATATTAATACGTTTTATTGCATAAAAATTTGTAAAATCTCACCAAATTTTTCCCCTTAATCAGGCACCCAGTAAACACAAATTATAGTAAAATGAGTCTTTATATAAAGTCTTTATATTTTGTCTAACTTATATCAGCAAAACTTTCAGACTTTCTCAAAGTTTCCCCTGTGATTCAATGAGTACTACAACAAATGGTTATGAAGTAAAATTTGTACCTGTTGGACCCATTTTGTCACTGCCTCTTATTACAAAATGGGAGCTGTCTTGCAGTAGTAGAGAGTGAGTACTTCTAAACAGTTAAATTCCAGTCTACTCTATTACTGTTTATATGTCTTGAATACTAAAGAGTCTTCACTTGAATTGCCTGTCATGGTTTATCTTACACTTTTGAGTGAGTGGTTAGAGACAGGAAAGGCAAAGCCTTGAGTTGTAGTGTTAGCTCTTACAGCTTCCCCTTGCTAAGTCACATGAGGCATCTGTCTTAGGTTTCTATTGCTGTGAAGAGACACCATGACCATGGCAGCTTTTACAAAGGAAAACATTTAATTTAGTTTCACAGGTTTAGTCCTTTGTCGTCATGGCGGCATGCATGCACACATGGTGCTAGAGAAGGAGCCGAAAGTTCTACATCTTGATGTGCAGGCAATAGGACATATTGAGACCTCAAAGCCTGCCCCCAAGGGACACACTTCCTCCCACTAGACCACACCATCTAATAGTGT